TCGCGAACAAGCGATACAAGATACTAAGGAACCACAAGAGAAGTTGAATGATAGCTCTAGGCCTTTCGTGTTGCAATCAACACATCATCAGGAACGTGCAATATTGCAGAAATGAGTAGGAAGTTCAAGTAGTTTCGTTCAGGGGAACGTTGTTGCTTTCGAGCAAAACGTTCCCCCTCAACAACACTGCTTCAACTTCTTACTCATTTCCTCAACTTTGCGAGCTTCTGATGTGTTGATTGTAACACGAAAGACCTAGAGCTATCATTCAACTCCCCTTGTGGTTGTTTTTATCTTAGTGGTTATGTTGAGAGACAACCGGTCAAGAATATTTAATATGCTTAAATTGCATTTGTACCATGAAAAAAAATAGAGGCAAAGGTTGTTGAGGTTCACTCCTATATTGTGATATATACCGTATGTCTTATGAATAATAACTTTAGTCATATACTGTGACGGTGTCACCCTGGAAACCTGTCACGGGCATGTCACAGCACGTAGCCCAGTGTCAGCACCACAACCTGGCTGATTATACCAACTGATTCGAGGAAGCATCAAGTTCCCTCAAGAAAGCAACTAACTCAAGTTTACTCCAGTGATTATTTGAGAGTCAGAAGTTGTGATGCAGCCACGACTGATGCAGTGAGGCTGACACGTCTCACCACTCCGATGCAGTGAGGCTCACACATCTCACCACTGATGCAGTGAGGCTGACACGTCTCACCACTGATGCAGTGAGGCTGACACGTCTCACCACTGATGCAGTGAGGCTGACACGTCTCACCACTGATGCAGTGAGGCTGACACGTCTCACCACTGATGCAGTGAGGCTGACACGTCTCACCACTGATGCAGTGAGGCTGACACGTCTCACCACTGATGCAGTGAGGCTGACACGTCTCACCACTGATGCAGTGAGGCTGACACGTCTCAACACTGATGCAGTGAGGCTGACACGTCTCACCACTCTGATGCAGTGAGGCTGACACGTCTCACCACTCTGATGCAGTGAGGCTGACACGTCTCACCACTCTGATGCAGTGAGGCTGACACGTCTCACCACTCTGATGCAGTGAGGCTGACACGTCTCACCACTCTGATGCAGTGAGGCTGACACGTCTCACCACTCCGATGCAGTGAGGCTGACACGTCTCACCCACTCTGATGCAGTGAGGCTGACACGTCTCACCACTCCGATGCAGTGAGGCTCACACATCTCAAACCCCTGATGCAGTGGGCTCACCCCGTCCCCACCACTGATGCAGTGAGGCTGACACGTCTCACCACTCTGATGCAGTGAGGCTGACACGTCTCACCACTCTGATGCAGTGAGGCTGACACGTCTCACCACTCTGATGCAGTGAGGCTGACACGTCTCACCACTCCGATGCAGTGAGGCCACACACTCACCCCTGATGCAGTGGGCCACACGTCTCACCACTGAGCAGGAGGGTCACACGTCTCACCCTCGATCAGTGAGGCCACACCTTTCCCCTCACATATCTCCCTGGTAGTGTTTAGACACACTGGTTATAATGTGTCACATACTCTCCCTGGTAGTGTTTACACACACTGGTTATAATGTGTCACATACTCTCCCTGGTAGTGTTTACACACATTGGTTATAATGTGTCACATACTCTCCCTGGTAGTGTTTACACACACTGGTTGTAATGTGTCACATACTCTCCCTGGCAGTGTTTACACACACTGGTTATAATGTGTCACATACTCTCCCTGGCAGTGTTTACACACACTGGTTGTAATGTGTCACATACTCTCCCTGGCAATGTTTACACACACTGGTTGTAATGTGTCACATACTCTCCCTGGCAGTGTTTACACACACTGGTTGTAATGTGTCACGTAATTCTCTCTCTCCCATCCATTAATTATTCCTTTCTCTAATTTATTTTTTCTTCATCCATTGAATTTTTTATAACTGAACTGGCTATTTATATATTTGTATAGTAGTAGTAGTAGTAGTAGTAATAGTAGTAGTAATAGTAGTAGTAGTAGTAGTAGTAATAGTAGTAGTAGTAATAGTAGTAGTAGTAGTAGTAGTAGTAGTAGTAATAGTAGTAGTAGTAGTAGTAGTAGTAGTAGTAATAGTAGTAGTAGTAGTAGTAATAGTAGTAGTAGTAGTAATAGTAGTAGTAGTAGTAATAGTAGTAGTGGTAGTAGTAATAGTAGTAGTAGTAGTAGTAATAGTAGTAGTAGTAGTAGTAGTAGTAGTAGTAATAATAGTAGTAGTAGTAATAATAGTAGTAGTAATAGTAGTAGTAGTAATAGTAGTATTAGTAATATTAGTAGTAGTAGTAGTAGTAGTAATAGTAGTAGTAGTAGTAGTAATAGTAGTAGTAGTAATAGTAGTAGTAGTAGTAGTATAATATAGTATATAGTAGTATAATAGTAGTATAATAGTAGTAGTAATAGTAGTAGTAGTAGTAGTAATAGTAGTAGTAGTAGTAATAATAGTAGTAGTAGTAGTAGTAGTCGTCGTAGTCATAGTAGTAGTAGTGGTAGTGGTGGCGGTGGTAGTGGTGATGGTAGTTGTTACCAGCTATCAAAGGTACTTTTTTATAGACACTTGACCTTTTTTTTTGTGTGTGTGTACTCACCTATTTGTTGTTGCAGGGTTTGAATCACAGCTCATAGCCCTGCCTCTTTACTGGTCGTTACTAGGTCCATTCTCTTCCTGCTCCAAGAGCTAATCATAATCTCTTCTTAAAGCTATGTATGGATCCTGCCTCCACCATTTCACTCTCCCCGTAATTCCACTAACTGACAGCTCTGTGATAGAAGAAATTCTTCCTAACATCCCTGTGACTCATCCGAATCTTCAACTTCCAGTTGTGACCCCTTGTTGCTGTGTCCCATCTCTGTAACATCCTGTCCCTGTGCACTTTTCAATTCTCAGTATTTTATGTCGTTATCATGTCCTCCTTTTCCCTCCGGTCCTCCAGTGTCGTCAGGTCGATTTCCTTTAATTAACCTCTCCTCGTAGGACATGCCCCGTAGTTCCGGGACTAGTCTTGTTGCAAACCTTTGCACTTTCTCTGATTTCTTGACGTGGTTGGCCAGGTGTGGGTTCCATACTCGTGCTACATATTCCAATATGGGCTTGACATACACGGTGTACAGAGTCTTGAACGATTTCTTTCCCAGGAGCCTATATGCTGCAGCATATAGACGCCTGATATTATACTCACCCCAAGATCCTTTTCCTTCATTGAGGTTTGCAGTATTTGGCACCCCTAGCTTGTACTCTATCTGCGGTCTTCTTTGACCTTCCCCAGTCTTCATGACTTTGTACTTCGTGGGGTTAAACTCAAGGAGCCAATTGTTGGACTAGGCTTGCAGCCTGTCCAGATCCCTTTGTAGTCTTACCTGATCGACATCCGTTTGAATTCTTTGCATTAGCTTCACATCGTCTGAAAAAAGGGACACCTGTGAATCTATCCCTTCCGTTATGTCATTCACATATACACCAGAAACAGCACCGGTCCTAGGACTGACCCCTATGGAACCCCGCTCGTCACAGGCGCCCACTCTGACACCTCGTTACGTACCATCACTTCTTGTTTCCTTCCTGTCAGGTATGCTCTGATCCAATGCAGTGCCTTTCCTGTTATTCCTGCCTGCTCCTCTATATTTTGCACTGATCTCTTGTATGGAACTGTGTCGAAAGCCTTCTTGCAGTCCAAGAAAATGCAATCTACCCACTCCTCGATCTCTTGTTTCACTTATGTCACCTTGTTGTAAAACTTCAGTATATTTGGAACTCAGGATTTCCCTTCCCTGAAACCATGCTGGTTATCATGTTTGAGCTCATTCCTTTCTAGGTGCACCACCACTTCAGATAATCTTCTCTATGACTTTTCATACTATACATATCAGTGACACTGGTCTGTAGTTTAATGCTGTCTGTCTGTCTCCTTTCTTAAATATTGGGACTACAGTTGCTGTCTTTCACACATCAGGTAGTTGCCCTGTTTCGATAGATGTATTAAAGATTGTTGTTAGTGGCACACACAGCACCTCTGCTCCCTCCCCCAGGACTAATGGAGAGATGTCCGGTCCCACCCCCTTTGAGGTATCTAGTTCACTTAGCAGCCTCTTCACCTCCTCCTCGGTTGTGTGTATTATGTTTAGTAGTTGTTGGTGTACCCTACCATTCCTGCTTTCCGGTGTCCTTTCTGCCTCCACTGAAAATACTTCTTTAAATCTCTTGTTGATCTCCTCTCATATTTCTCGGTCGTTTCTTGTGATCTCCCCGCCTTCCTTCCTCATCCTGATTACCTGGTCCTTGACTGTTGTTTTCCTCCTGATGTGGCTGTACAACAGCTTTGGGTCAGATTTGGCTTTCGATGCTATGTCATTCTCGTATTGCCGCTGGGCCTCCCTCCTTATCTGTGCATATTCGTTTCTGGCTCTTCGACTAATCTCCTTATTATCCTGGGTCTTTTGTCTTCTATACTTTTTCCATTATTTAGCACACTAGTTTTGGTGTGTGTGTGTGTGTATACTCACCTATTTGTGGTTGCAGGGGTCGGGTCATAGCTCCTGGACCCGCCTCTTCACTTATTGCTACTAGATCCTCTCTCTCCCTGCTCCATGAGCTTTATCAAACCTCGTCTTAAAACTATGTGTGGTTCCTGCCTCCACTACGTCACTTTCTAGGCTATTCCACTGCCTGACAACTCTATGACTGAAGAAATACTTCCTAATATCCCTTTGACTCATCTGAGTCTTCAACTTCCAATTGTGACCTCTTGTTTCTGTGTCCCATCTCTGGAACATCCTGTGTGTGTGTGTGTGTGTGTGTCCACACTTGGGCGCGCGCCCGTGTGCAACCTTACTGAGTTGGATTCACCGATTTGTGGTTGCGGGGGGAGGGGGGTAGAGATTCAGCTCCTGGGCCCCGCCTCCTGGACTACTTGGAGCTTATCATATCTTCTCCTGAAGTTGTGTATTGAGTAGTGTGTTGTGTGTTTCAGGCACAGAGAGCAGCGGGAGCCAGGGTGCAGCAGCGGCGGCGGCGACGGCGACGGCGGCGGCGGCGACGGCGGGGGAGTCTGATATTACTCCAGGTCAGTCTATCTTGATTACCTTATACCCATATACCTTACTGCCTTATACTTTACTACCTTATACCTTACTACTTTATACCTTACTGCCTTACGCCATACTGACTTACACCTTAATGCCTTATACCTTACTGCCTTACGCTTTACCGACTTACACCTTACTACCTTACACCTTACTGCCTTATACCTTACTACCCTACACCTTACATCTTACTACCTTACGCCTTACTACCTTACAAGTTACTACTTTACACTTTACTGCCTTACACTTTACTGCCTTACACCTTACTACCTTACACCTTACTACCTTACACCTTACTACCTTACACCTTACTACCTTACACCTTACTACCTTACACCTTACTACCTTACACCTTACTCTTACTACCTTACACCTTACTACCTTACATCTTACTACCTTACACCTTACTACCTTACACCTTACTACCTTACACCTTACACCTTACTACCTTACACCTTACTACCTTACACCTTACTACCTTACACCTTACTACCTTACACCTTACACCTTACTGGCTTATACCTTACTGCCTTACACCTTACTACCTTACACCTTACTGGCTTATACCTTACTGCCTTACACCTTACTACCTTACACCTTACTACCTTACACTTTACTGGCTTACACCTTACTGCCTTACACCTTACTACCTTACACCTTACTACCTTACACCTTACTGCCTTACACCTTACTACCTTACACCTTACTACCTTACACCTTACTACCTTACACCTTACTGCCTTATACCTTACTACCTTACACCTTACTACCTTACAAGTTACTACCTTACACCTTACTGCCTTATACCTTACTACCTTACACCTTACTACCTTAAGTCTGGAGTGGTAGACCGACTCATGTGTCCTCCCTTAGTGGAGTAGCTGGTTCTCACCTGCGTGTCCGAGGTCGGACTTCCCTCACTTTTTCTATCCAAGGTAGAGACTTCACTGCTTCCTTCCTTGTTGTCGACCAGATTACTTTCCCTGGTGACCTTCTATTGGGCTTTGCTTCCATGCGAGACTTGCGCATTGTGCTCGACCCTTATCGATGGCATGCCCAAATTGATGACTTGATCGTACCATTTTGGGGTTACCAGCTTGGATCCGAGATCTGCCATACTGCCGCAGAGTATGACATTCGAATTAAGTCCTTACAGGCCAGTGCATTTTCCAGTAGCGTACCCAAGCGGTCAGGCACTGATGATCCTGTCATTCCTGTCTGTGTTCCTGCAACTTCAGACTTGCAAGATAGTGTCCAGTTACCTCAAGTGTCCGAGGACGCTCTGACTACCTTGAGTGCTGAGCCTATCCCTGCAATGTCTGCTAGTTCAAGTAGTAGTTTCTCCACAGGGGACGCCTTGTCGGAAAACAATTACTTGCAACTAGTAATGCCATCTCTTGTTGATGTCACATGCCGTCTGCAGAAAGACGTTTCTGTCGCAGCTAGTGCCCTCACTAGAGTGTCTGTTGTTATTCCTAGTGTTCCAGATGGTGATAACGTCCTAGTTGACAGTGATTCTTGCAAAGTAAAAGGTCTATTTGTTGAATCATCCTTACATGTTGTAAGAGATAGTAAGATCCATTTCTTCCTAGCTAACACTTCTGGTCACAGTGTTCGTCTCAGAGCAAATACCAATCTTGTTGACCTTATTCACTATCCTTACCCTGTTCAGGTAGAGGATGAGTTGTCACCTGACCAGTGGGTCGGTGCTATTTCTACCGGGGAGACCTCATCCACTTCACTGGATCAATCTGTTCCACCAGTTGAGGAGAAAGACTTAGCTCCCACTGACTTCCCAGATGAAGTCAAGCGTTTGTTGACTTTGTTGAACAAACGTCATAAAGCCATTGCCTTACCAGGTGAGAAGATGGGTATAACGAACTTATTGTCCCATCATATACCACTTGAACCTGGTACTAGACCTATCTATATACCTGCGTACGGAATGCCTCATTCACAAGTTGCTGTCGCAGAAGAATTGATCAATCAAATGCTTGATGATGGAGTTATTGCACCTAGCAATTCACCTTGGAATGCACCCTTGATCCTAGTACCTAAGAAGGATGGAACTTGGCACCCAGTGATTGACTTTAGGAAGTTAAATGCGAAAACTATGAAAACTATCCCAGATCGCTTCCCACTTCCTGTACTGGGTGATCTTTTACGTAACATCGGAGATAACAAAGTCTTTTCAACCCTGGATTTGTTACAAGGGTTTTGGCAAGTCCCTCTTCACGAGGACAGCCAAGAGCTAACTGCATTCTCCACTCCTACAGGTCATTATCACTTCCTCCATATGGCGTTTGGATTACGATCCTTCCCTATCACGTTCTCAAGGCTCATGACTAATATCTTTAGAGGTCTCATAGGTAATGCACTTATGGTGTACTTAGACGACGTAATCGTCATGTCTAAAGACGTGGATACACACTTGAAAAGACTTGATGTAGTACTTGGTAAGCTTGAAGAAGCCAATTTAAAGATCAAACTGTCTAAATGTCAATTTTTCAGATCAGAAATTAAGTTTCTTGGTCATGTAGTCACTCCTAGAGGGGTTACGACTGACCAAAGTAAAGTAACTGCAGTACTAAATTTTCCAACTCCCAAAACTGCTGATGCCGTAAGATCCTTTGTGGGCTTAGCAGGTTTTTATAGATCTTTCATTGCCAATTTTTCTTCCATAGCTGCTCCTCTAACTGAGTTGCTTAAGAAAGATGCTCCTTTTGTTTGGACCTTCCGTCAAGAAAGAGCATTCCAAACTCTAAAAGAAAAGCTAACATCTGCTCCAATTTTGAAATTTCCAGATTTTTCTAAGCCCTTCTATCTGAGAACTGATGCTAGTTCAATTGGCATAGGTGCCGTACTAGCTCAGAAGACTGATGGCAAGTACAACGCAGTTGCATTTGCTAGCCGAGTCCTTACGAAGGCTGAACGTAATTATACAGTAACTGAGCAAAAAGCTTTAACAATAGTATGGTCTTTAAAGCACTTCCGAGACATTATTTATCAGTACTCTGTTCATGTCTTGACAGACCACGCTCCACTGATACCTTTATTCCAGAACAAACAACCTACTGGAAGGTTAGCCAGATGGACCTTGACTATCCAAGAGTTCAATCCCATCTTTGAACACTTACCTGGCAAGTCAAATGTAGTCGCAGATGCCTTATCGCGACATGTTAGTATAATAACTGCAGACCCTCCATTTAGTGCTGAAGATGTAAAGAATGCTCAACGAACAGATCCCATGTGGTCTGGTGTGATTCGATTCCTGCCCCAGGAAGATCTTATTCTGACTGTGAAGCCACCAGCACCCATCAGTGACTTTGTCATGAACCAAGAATTACTGTATCGAACAGCCGAGTTGGGTACTCCTAGCAGAAGAGTTTACCAGTTAGTAATTCCACAGTCACTAGTGAATGTAGCCTTACAGCTAGTTCACGATGTACCAGGTGTTGCGCACCCTGGTATGGATCGTTCAGTAAAACAAGCCAGATTGAAATACTTTTGGCCTCGTATGGCAACTGATATTTCTGAGTATGTTAAGAAATGTAGTGTCTTCATGCAACATAAAGGTAATGCTAATGGTCCTAATCCAATCCAAGTGTATCCAACTACTAGCGAACCTTGGGAAAGAGTTGTGCTAGATTTGTTAACTAATTTCCAATGTTCCCTCCAGGGCAAACAAACATCTATGTGTTATGGTAGACCATTTCACCAGATATTGTGAGTTAGTTCCTATTGCAGATAAGACTGCCGAGACAGTAGCTAAAGCGTTTAAAGAACGCATTATCTGCAGGCATACCACCCCTAAGTCCTAGTAACAGATAATGGAGGTGAATTCTGTAATGAGATTCTTGAAAATTTGTGCACCTTGTACAAGATCTCTAAATCCACCATTGTTCCTCATCATCCTGCCAGCAATGGGTTAGCAGAACAAAACCAATAAGAAAGTACTTGATGTCTTGAGAGCCACTATCAATCCCAACAGTGAAACTTGGGATGAAGTTATACCTGATGTGCAGTGTGCTATAAATTCTGCTTACAATGTTTCCATAGGTGACACTCCACATTATGCATTGTACAGTGTAGATAAACGTTTGCCTTATGAGTTGTTATATTCTAATCTGAAACCAAATTACAACCCTGATGATTTCATAGCAACTCGTACCAGCTTAGCTCAAAGTGTTTTTAGAAGAATCCGTGAAACACTTCATAAATCAACAGCAGAATTTACAAGAGTCGCAAACACTCGAGCAAAGCCATCCAAAATCGAAGTAGGTTCGAGAGTTATGCTGACTAACTTTAACAAAACGTCTGCAAAAGTTTGTTGGTCCTTATCGAGTAGTTGAACATATCACTGGTAATAAATATAAGGTTAGAGAAATTAGTACTGGTCAGTATAAAGAATCGCATTTAGATCATATGAAGTTAGTATGTGATGATAATGATGTTCCAACCCAGACTAATGTGACAGACTCTGACAATCCTCCTGATCCTGTACTCTCTACCTCTGATACTCAGTCAGACGATCAACCTGAATGTCGTTATTCCCTATGTACACGACAGATATTGAGAAATTCCCAAGTATCATTTGTTACTACCAATTCAGATTTGCCTCAAATACAGCATGAGTTAGCCAGTGCAACAGAGTTTGATCCTCCCAGAGATGACACCCATTCTGCATATATCAATCTCACCCTAGCAGAGTTGGGGTTAAATGTAAATAACCTGTATAGATGAATAATTACAGTATCAGCTTATCAGTATTCAAGAATTTTTTTTTTTGTGTTCACGTTCTCTCCGAATTCTGAGAGTTAACAGTCTAGATTTGAGTGCACCGAATCTGCTTCTTTGTATATATTCCTTCCTCAGAATCCGTAGATCACATGAATACAGATCGATTGATCAATTTTTTTTTATCACTTCTATTGTGTAATCTCAACGTTGAGTTTCATTCGATGAGTTGTGCTATATTATA